AAATTATTTTGATGATTCAACAAAAAATTATTTTCAGATCTGTTTTAGCAAAATTTTTAAACTTTTTAACAAATTCTTTCCGTGTAAACATCGATTAATTAGGAAGATCAATATGATATTTCTATTTCAGCATCAGCTAAAAATTGCGTTACAAGTCCAAACATTTAATAGGCGCACAGTTTAACGACTGTACATGGAGTTAAGAAAAATTCATATAGAATTCGTTAGGCATCCAGCCGTGACCGCGGAAAGGCGCTCTCAAATTTAATTATTTTTAATTTGTTTTTTTTTTTTTTTTTTTTGTTGAAAAAGGGAATTTCTGAAATTTATTGCAAAAGCGAACCAAGAATTTCGTTGAAATAGAACAATCGCAAAAAATTTACGGATATTAAACTGAGCAAGGTAAAACGGGAATTTAGAAGAATCAGTATCCTGATAAGAACATTCAAGAGAAACTTACGCAAGAGATGGAAGTATTAACAAAGAAGATTGAAAAATGGTTCGAATATAAAAGAGCAAAACACAGATCTGAATCCAGTTACATAAACGAATTCGAGATTTCGCTAAAAGGCAAACACAGAAAATTCAAGGATCACGAATTGAACGAGTTGGAACAGGTATTTAAAAAGAATCAATATCCTCAAAAAAACATTAAAGAGAAACTTGCGCAAGAAATAAAAGCATAAAAAAAGAAGATTGATTGATGGTTCGATCAAAGAAAAAAAACAAAAATCTGAATTTATGCAACAAACAATGGGAACATATCTCTTCGTCTGCTGGATACATCGATTCCGTAAGTAGTGATACCTATATTATTTGTTCACCAGTTATTCATCCAATATTAATCATTCTCTCATATTCACAGGAAAATGGCAATACCGGGATACATTCACATCCGCATCTGCAGCCTTTAAGTTCATCTAATGCAGCAATTTTCTCCCGTCCAAGGTACAGACCACAGCTTCTGAATTCTAACTAAACTACTCACTTTGTTGCCATTTTTAATTTAAAATCTATTTACACATATACAGAAATCTCACAAACAATCGCTGGTCAAATCAAAATTATTAGTCTTTTGTTAATTTTCACAGACAGTACGCATACATAGCACACCATTGCAAGGACAGCTCAAAATGACTTTTGTCTCTTTCTATCATATGTAAAATAATTAAAGTGAGCAGTTTAGTTAGCATGTTAGCATATAAAAGTCTGTAAACTAATAATATAAAAAAAAAATTTCTTTTAATTTCAATATAATCTTCCCTGCCAGTGTTCATAGTTATGTTATATGATTTATATTTTTATATGATATTCCATAAGAAAAGAGGAATATTCTTATTCAGAGATGTATACATTGGAGTTTCACTTCTTAATGAGTATTAATTTTGCGTGGTACGTGCTTTAACATCAGTCGATGGGCGTTATAATAAAATCGCATTTATGTACTGTTAACGCTTGGATTAGTTTGAAAAGGAAAGTAACTGGAAAGTGAAAGAACCAATCATACATATAATAATCGAAGTGCGATTTCACTCATATGTGTATACATACATTTGCCGCGGAACATTAAAATTGATATACATATATATCTTGAGTACTCATTAGCCCACAAAGTATAAAGACATAATCACTAGTTGGAAAAAAATTCTATTTATTAAAAATAATAGCAGATTACGAAATAAAAACTACAAGAAAAGAGTTTACACGAATAAAAAATTTTATTACATTTTTAAATTATTAAAATTAGAGAGGAGGACAGACCTTTTCCGCACGCGCGCGATTTATACCTATCTTATATTTAAAAATAATTTAAATAAATGAGACAATAAAATAAATTCTTTTATAAAATTATTGTACTTTAAAAATGTTACATGTTTAAATTCTAAAAATCAAAAAAATAAATATTGATTATGAAATTGTAAGGGATTATGTTACACAAAGGTTCATAATGTAATATTTTTTATTGATTACGTGTATGAAGTTCTGTACACATAACGTTTTATGTAAGTAAACTGGAGAATCGATTATTCAACCGTGATGATAGTCTGCGTAGTAGGTAAGTGTAATAAATCAGAATTTCGAATAAGAATAAGAAAAGGAATAAGAAATAAAGTAGGTAGGTGTGAAGAAAATTGGAATTCTTCGCAGTCACTTTTTCGAGAAATCATGCAAATTGTGCAACTTAAATTGTTGCGGTAAATTGATTTCACTTGAAAGTAAAAAAAAGGAAGTTATCTCATCCGAACAATTTTCTCTTTATGAGCATATTATTCTTTTTATCTTTATCTTAATTTTCTCTACTTCCCGATATTGTTGCCACGATATCCGACAAGGAATAAAGGCAATTCATCTACTTTCATTATTTAGAGAATAATGCGTCGATTTCCCTTCGGAGGAGAAACTCCCGTTGGTGAGTTCCGGGTTTACTTTTTTTTTTAAGTGCATTTCGACACTTTCGGACTAGATAATTCGCAGAGGTGACTACGCTCCGCGGAAATAAGGCATATAGTCTACCCATGAACCAAGCGTGAACGTCGAAATTTGCGACGGAAAGCTCGCGAGAATTGTGTTTACGGCAATGCAAATGCGCGTGCGAGACCGTTGCACGTGAAATTTCGTGTAAAACCATTCAAGTGAGAGCGATTTCAAGTGAATTGAAGTGGTACACCACCTATGCAGGAACTGTTTTCAGGAAAACGAGTCTACTGTTGTTGTCCAGCGTTCGTACACGGTTCATTGATTATGTTTCTATTTATAAAGGCTGGCTGTGAACGAGACTTTTAGTCACCGCACAACTGCAGTCTCAGAAGAGTTAAGAGCGCATAAAGTGAACATGGTTAAGCTCGGAATACACGTGAGTGTCAGATCTGGGTGTAAATTCGTTATGTGATGTCTTGTTTAATCATGCAAAATGAAATGACTCGCAGGCGCACTCTCGCACTCACAGGATGCTTCATAAAGTGACAATTTCATCTTTACTTCTCGTTTCAGTGATCCTTGAATGTTAACACCTTGAATGTTAATAGTTACTTTGCTTTAGAAAAACAGATCAAATTCATTTTAGACAATCTACAACTCATAGCAAGTTTTATATATAACGTAAAAATATTTTTATATTACATTGGTTTCACAAAATGATTTTTAAAAGTTTTAATTAGTTCTTATTATTAAGAATTTTGTTCTGTAGATGTTCATTCCACTTGAAATTTATTTAATTTTTTTTAATGTAAAATGACAAAAGATTCAAGACAATGCAATTTTTTGGGAGATACATTTTTCAAATAAAAACTGTATTAAGAAAATATATACATATACTTTTCCGTAATTAATCATTTGATACGTAAAATAATAAGTCTTTATTTCAAACTCACACAAGAATCATTATTATGCAAAACTGCTTCGTGCGCCAAAATATTATTTCGTAATAGAAGAATAAATTGTATAAGTATAGCTCGATTTTTATCTCCGCATTGATTGATTAATAGGCTTATTGATTAAAAGTCAATTTTTTTTAAAACATTTATTTTAAATTAAAGTAAAAAAGAGAAAAAAACATTAGCATAAAATGATACAATAGAAATGAGATATCCTGTACATAGAAAAATGTAAGGAATATTTTCAATAAAATATTTTCAATAGTTTTCAATAATTAATTGATTATTTCCTAATATGAGGCTTAATGAATCTAAAAATCGAATATTTCTAAAAGAGAAATAAAGTGATTAAATTGAAACGGAGAAAAGATTGATAATAAATTTCTACACGTATATATGCATCTGGATATAAATTATCTCAAACATTCTCGAGAGATATGACATTTCTTTTTATTATCAGAATAATTTTATTTAATAATTACAATTTTACATGTCTCCTTTTTGATCACTTCCATTTTATTTCCTGGTTTCCCGCGGATAAAATCACCGTGTATTTGGTTAACATACTTTCTCTAATGAAAGATAAGATCTGTGATCTATTTTTAATTAAGTATTAAACGACAGGCGTATGCATGTTAGTTTTCGACGTATAAAAAGAGAAAACAGACAATCTCTAAATTCTGCAAAAATAAAATTTTTCTGTCACCTAGCTTACGTAACATCTTTCTGCTTTAGGTTCTACTTTTGCTGGTTGTCACAATGGACTTGATACCAGCGATGCCGTATCCCGGCGGTCATCACGAACAGTAATTTTCTCTTTTTTAAATTATTTATTGCTCCTCATATTCCTTAAAAAGTGATATACTGTTTTAACTCTTTAATATATGACACAGCAAGAACATTTAAAGAAATTTGAAATTCCTTTTAGCACGCACTTCATCATCCACGTGCCGCATCATATTCACAAGCATCATCATACACTCGTGAAGAAGATTTACATACCGGTTAAATCACATCATCATCATCATCACCATGAGCATGAAGAAGACGGCTGGTAAATCATTTTGTCTCACGAATTCCTTGTTAAGTTAAAGGATCCTATCACGGCAGAGTTATTTAATCATAATCTTCTGATGATATCTGATGACTACTTGTTTGTTATTGTTTCACACTGTTAATTGTGCAAAATAAACATATTTATATACTAATGACTACATTTTTATCCCATAATTTTCTTGTAGCTTCTACGAATGTCTGAAGGGAATTATAATTTTTGAATCTAATTATAAGTGATTATCATTTATTTTGATACATCTTTTAAGAAATAATAATAATTTAAGTAATTAGTAGAACGCAAGATTTTGAATAAAAAATTTTAATCATTAGTAATTAATTACGCTTATAAATGTAAATAAGATTTTTAAAATTTTAAAACCGCAGTAATTTAATAAAAATAAAGGAAATGAATAAATGTTGATTCAAAATACTTTTTTTTATCAAATGTTTATTATATAAAAATAATGATAGAAAGTGTAACGTGATGTAAAGTATGTACAAGTATTTTCGTTCTGAGTACACACGCGTGCATACAGAGTATTTGGTTCTTATGCTAAATCCTTAAATGCTGTACTGGTAGTGCGAGTAATTTTGTACTAATCGGTTTCATCTTCTTTTATATTCCACAAGAGAACTTCTTATCAATGGATCCCCAATAAGGAATAATTTTTTTTATTGACTTTTACTTACTCCACCTTGTACAATAACCTGAAAATCCAGTTTGCAAGTTGTTGAGTACACGATAAATCAATTTTGCAAGTTAGATCAATTATACTTTTAAAATAATATTAAAATATTATAAGAGAATATTAATAACATGTAAATATTTTCACAATATATTGCTATTATAGTTTTAATCAGAAAAGAGATTTATCCTGCATAAATATAAAACTCTTTCCCTTTCTCTCTTTAGGAGAATATATTAAAAAATACTTAAAAATTTAAAAGCATCGTAAAAATTTTAATATAAATTTAAAGTACGTCTTTTTCTATTCTATATAATATATAAATCAGTTCTCTGTTCAAGTTATAAACAACCAGGAAAAACCCAATATAACTAATATAATTAATTGGGCGAAGAATTACAATGTAATTTAAAGTTGAAATAAATTGAAGAAATTTACGCTCCAATATTTACGTGAGATTTTAATTGCCTGATTTTTCTTATATTTTATTATTGTATTATTTAAAGAGTCTGTTACATTTTTAGTTGTTTAATATAATTAATTAATTTAAAAAAAATCTTTCTTTTCTCTTGTAAAAATATATTTAAAAATATTTAAAAAATTTAAGAGAATCGTAAAAATTTTAATGTATATTTAAAATGTGCCTTTCTCGATTCGATATAATTTTAATATATTAATCAAACCTGTGTTCAAATTAGAAGTAAACAATACAAACCTAATATAATTGAAGTCGAAGACAAAGTGTTCCATTTAAAACCAGCCATGACTTAACTTCTCCTCATGAACGGGTACATGAATAGGGACATGAACTTTATGAACGACTGGAACAGGTACGGCCACTTTTTCAACATGGTGTACTGGTACTGGAACTGGTACTTTCTCGACATGGTGCACCGGAACCGGAACAGGAACGGCGACCTTCTCGACGTGATGTACCGGGATGTGTATCTTCTTCGTGTGATGATGATGGACCGTATGCACGTGGTAGGGCACGTGAATTATATGATGTTCACTGAAGCCATACAATCGTTTTCCATGTTATATTGTATTTAATTGTTCTTTCTTATTTATTCATCATTTTAATTATTTATTATTACGTAATAAGTAATCAAAATGAAAATTATCTTATATATAATTTTATTTTAATTGTAAATAATTAAAATAATAAATAATACTAAGAGAACCGTATTGGTAAAGCTTCTAAGTTCGATTACATGAAATATAAGTAACTGCAGTCGAAGCGCTACTTACTGATGATGACCCGGCACCGGCGATGCCAAAGCCACGGCCATTATTCCGAACACGAGCAACTGCAACACAAGAGGTGTGTGATCGCGGTTTGTTTGTAATATCGAAAGTGCATCGCGTACAAAGGCCATTTAAATGCATGGCATTTTTTTTCAATCCACTTTCATCATTTTTGTCGCCTCTTTCTTGCACAGCGGCGATACAAGAGCGCCGGGCTTCTAATTCAATTAAGTAGCGATGATTATATTTAAAAAATCACAAAACCTTCAGTCAATAAAATCAATTTTTTTTCTCTTTCTTTTTTTTTCGAAAAATTTTAAGAATGTTACAAAAAAAGTTCGCGTTACTGATATATATTAAATGTGATCTGGCATACCATTAATTAAATGCATTGAAGAATAATTGACATAAGTATAAAAATTTTAAAAATGCATTTAATAAATTATTTGATTGAATAATTATTTTATCTTATTAAACATTGGAAAAATCCAATTACAGCTCTACAGTCAGTGGATTTTGTCGTCAAGTATTTTTAGTAATAAGACAAAAAAAATACATTTAAACTTTTTTACTTATTTGTCCTAGTTAAAATTTCGTACAAATTTGAAGAGTACGATTTTTGTATACGGGATTACAGTTTGGATATTGTCGAGAAATTTCAAGTGTCTCTCGAGACTCGTTTCTTGAGAGTAATTTTTACAATCACAAAATTCGCGCACATTTTGTAAAATTATCGCGGTATATACACTTAGTTATATTACTTGAAAATCACTAACGACCACAAAACCAAACGACGAACATCGGAAGAACCAAAATTATTGAGTGTACGGTGAGAATAATACATAGAAATATATATCATAGAAGAATCACTCACAGCAGTGATGTGGAAGCGCATCTTCGATTCTATCTTAATCGATCGATTGTTACTTGGTGAAAAAAATATCGCGGCTGTGCGTGCTGCGCTGTTTGCTATGCAAACTGTGCCGATACGATTCTGTGTTTTGATCGTCGGGGATGTCCGCTTATAAAGGACGGACACGACGATGGTCAAAACCACCCGGTGAAATTGCACGGGGTGGGAGAGAGCAGAGTGGCTTGGGATCCAGGGGGTTACGTAAAAGCAAGGAAACGCGGAGGCCCGACGCGTTACGTTCGTTTCGGTGCTGCGTAACTCCTCCGATGTGCGTACGGCGGCCGCGCCTCGGAGTGGTACGGGAACACACGGTCGGGCGTGCATGCGTGCGCCCGAGTGTGTACTATAAGCGGTCGGATTTCGCGCGATAACGAGCGCATTCGTACGTAATTCCAGCAATTTCCTTTTTCCATCGTTCGCGGATCGTTCAGACTTCTTGCCGTGGGGCGGTGCGGCGCTTGTCGAAATAATTTCTACGGAAGTGTGAATCTGTGCGACGGTTGTGTGACACTCATCACACACACTGTAGTAAAATTGTCAAAATTGTTTACCGGATTATTTCGATAAATATATATTGCTAAACGACATTCAGTTGAATAGGTGTAATAAGTTTATCTTTAATTGTATAACGATAGCGGATTGCTTATCGAGTGAAAGTAGTTAATTAGTTTATTTCAGTAAGATACATTGTAATTATTTTATATAATTTTATAAAATTTTGCTCTATACATAATATTATTATTATTATTATTATTACTCATTGTATTATTTAATCCTTATCGTTCTTTATTATGCATCACGATTTTGTATTTTTAAATTTAATTATTATGATATAATAAGAATACACTTATGTGTGTGTGTGTGTGTGTGTGTGTGTGTGTGTGTGTGTGTATTCTTATTATATCATAATAATTAAATTCAAAAATATGTGTATGTGGAAGAAATGCTTCCGCGAGAGTGAATAAAGAAGTGAGAGTGCGCACAGAAACCCGAAAACATAAATTTCGTTTGCTTATAAATTAATAAATTATGCGGAGTTACGCTGTAAAAATGTCAGGAAATCTGCATTACGTCACGCGAAGCGAAACAAATTGGTCTCCGTAAAGAATATTTCCATTGGGTGCTTTTTTCTCTTTCTTTTTCTTTTGACGCACAATAGACAGAGGTGCATCGCAAAGACGTATTTTGCCGTCGATTATCCTACAGAATGATTTCGCCTATTTTCACGTATGTTGCACGAATAACGCAGAAAGTCCTCGCTTTGCACCAATAAATTGAACTGATTTCACCCGCGGGCATTGCGCGTCGCTGAAACAGCTTCTGGTTTCGGAGAGAGAAACTTGTCTCTCCGATCAATTCCGTAAAAGGTTAAAGTTCCACGAAATGCAAATTCATTATTTAAGTGTGACAAGATATCGCAAATGTATACATAATCGTCTTAGTCAAGAATGATATAATGAGCGACTTATCGAATGCGAGCGCGCGTGGAATATTTCGAAGGAAGTCAATTCGCATCGTAATTGGTTGTTTCTAATCATAAATACAATCCAATATTAGATTAGCGAAAGTTCACAAACGGACCACGAACACGTCCGTACACGATGATAAATATCGTTCTAATGGTCTAATGCGTACATAAATGGTACTTTGCACGCGCATAATTGCACGCTGTATGTCGGATTTCCCCACAACAATCATTTTCTTCCGTAACTTTTACACACACACACACACACACAC